TCCAGCACATTATCCTGCAGTGCCGTACAGGACTCCCAAAACACTGGATAGAAGAGCAATAAATTCATTGACAATGTAGTGTAATATATCTTTTTTAAACTTATTTCATGAAATCTTTGATTTCAGGATCATATTCAGTTTGCAGTTCAGAGAAACATAAATCTATATTAAGTAAAATATTGTGTGTAAAATATACTTTATAAACTTCAAATCACTATATAAATATTTTTGTTATTAGTTGACTCTGAGTTGGCCTTTGATTCATTACTACCCCATACAAAATGGACTAACAATTGTGATTTATAGTGTTTTCATTGACCAATTTTCGGAAATAGATCTCTTTGTCTTTCTAGTCTGTCTTAGTCTGGAAGATTTGCTGAAATCCCTGCTCAGCATTATAGCAGCATGCAAACCTCCACTGACAGACTGGTGGTGGCTGTGCTTCAGGTGCTTTGGCTGGGAATGCAACCCAGGTAAGAATTCTACCACTGAACCTTCAGGACCCCATGTATGTTGTTGTTGTTGTTAAGTGCCATCGAGTCGGTTCCTACCCATAGCGACCCTGTATAGGGTTTCCGAGGGTGTAAATCTTTACGGGAGTAGAAAGCCTCGTCTTTCTCCCACAGAACAGCTGGTAGTTTCGAACCGCTGACCTTAAGGTTCGCAGCCCGATTTGTAACCACTACGCTACCAGAGCTCCATGTATGTAGCTGTTGCTAAATGCTGTCAAACAACCCTATGTAGGGTTTGCGAGGAGCGGCTGGTGAGTGTGAACCACTGTCTTTGTGGTTGAAAACCATCTTGCAGTCCAGCACTTATTCTACCAGGACTCCATCCCTTTTATAGATACATCTTTACTATTTTAACTTGAGGAATCCTGGTGTGGCACTGTAGGATAAGCACTAGACTGCTAATAGCAAGGTTGGTGGCTCTAATCCAGTAGCTGATCCTTAGAAACTCTATACAGGGTCATTATGAGTCAGAACCAATTCAACAGCATTTAACAACAACAACAACATCTTAACTTAAATGCATATCACTTTACAAAGTAATTTCTAATGACACTGATACACTGTATTTATTCTATTTTAATATGAATGATTTATTATCATTACTTTTTTTGTATAAAGCATAACAATGGAAAACCAAGAAGTCATGGTGTGTTAGAGAAATTAGTTTCAAAACCAATTTTGATTTATGATATTTATAAAACATTTAGTGATCTGTTTAAGACAGAATGTTGACCTCTCATTTGAGACTCTAGGTATCATCTGATTATCTACTTAATCCTCAAAGTGTTATAGAGAAAAATTGATGACTATTGAGTTCTTCACTGCAGCTGGCATGCAATAAATTCATAGTCAGCTTTATTTATTGAATGTTGATCATGTTCAATTTTCATTTTCAAATTTATTCTGATGAGAGGACGCATGGAAATATGAAAGGAACCCATAGTTAAGAGTCAAATAAATCTTAGTTGAGCCTTGGTTCCATCTTTACTAACAGTGTGGGGATAGTTTACAGGGTGTGTTAATTAGCATTAAAATAGTTTTGCAGAAGTTGAGAAATGCTTAATTGAATTATTTTGTGCTTATATACAATTATAATTATTAGTTAATATAATTTTTATATTTTTAGCAGTACAACCATTTAGACTATTCAAAAGTATTTACCACAATGTAAGAAACTGAAAAAGATTTACTTTTCTCATTTAAAAATGCTTCTCAATTTCAAAATACTCAGTACCATTCTTGTTACTGAACCATAAGAAGGAAACAATATCTGGGAAAGATGCAGTAGGAAGATGAGACTCCCAAAGACATTGTAATGTTTAGGGTTCTATGTCAACTTGACTAGGTCAGGATTCCAGAGGCTTAGCAGTTGGGATGTGTTTACTACCATGGTGATGAAGCCTAATATAGGCATAGTTAACTCTGATGAATGGCTATGAGCAGCCAATCAATTAAAGGATGTTTCCTTGGGGGTGTGGCCTGTTCCCAATATAATGGACACTTGGAAGAGGGTCTCTTTTTACTGGGGACCTGGAATTCTATAATTGTAAGCCATTTTCTTGATAATAAATTTTTCTTTACATACATGTTTCACTGGTTTTGCTTCTCTAGAAAACCCAGCCTAAAACAGACATTATATATGTTTCTCTCATAATTTCTTTTTCTGGAAATATAATCAATTTATAATGTCTCATTATTATATATACAATTCAGTGACTTCTATATATCTTTCTTTATTATATATCCATAATTTAGCAGGGTGCTGGACTTCTATATACATCAATAAATGTTTTTATTTATTTTTAATTTTAGGAGTTCTGGTATGGCGCTTCAGGTTAATGTGCTGGACTGAAAAGTTAGTTTGAGCTGCAAGGTTGGCAGTTCAAGCTCACCAGCCACTCTTCGGAAACACTATACAGGGTTGTTATAAGTTAGAATTGACTCGATGGCACTTAACAACAATGAGTTGGAATTGACTCAGTGGCAGTGGGTTTTTGGTTTGGGGAAACTAATAAACAGTTTCTTAAAAGCACTTATCAAATAAGTCTTTTTTGGTGAAGTAAAATTGATGCCCCTCCGACTCCCCACTATTCCTCTATTTTTTTTGGTGTGGAATGTGATAACACAGCACATAGACAAAATGAAGCAGAATTGTTACCTTTCAGCCAAAAGGGATAGGCTGCACTGAAGTTACACTTGGTCGGTGGTCACTTAGTAGCTGTTCCATGTTGTAGAATAACTATATTTTCTATGTGTTGTAATTAAAACAGCATGTATGATGCTGTAGGAAAAGCATGAACCTGCAAGGTTGGAGGTTCCAACTCACCAGCCATTCCTTGGAATCTCTATAAAGGGTCTCAGGGTCTCTATGGGTTTGAAACCACTTGACGGCACTTAACAACATGCCTGTATGCAGCTAGGAGTTTTTTTTTTGTTGTTGTTTTTTAATTTTTTATGGCATGACTTACTATTTTTTTTTTTTTAGAAAAATAGACTTTATATTAAAATTATTTTGAGAGAATAAAATGAATTATTTATTAACTAGAAAAAAATGTATAACATATACTTTTGAGAAGTATATAGTTTGTAAAGAGATAATGCTTCAATACATGACACAATTGTTGTTAAGTGTTGTTGAGTGGGTTTTGACTCATAGTGATATAGTTTATAGATATGTACAGCCTCAGTGTATAGTTTCTGAGGCTGTACATCCTTGCTGGAGCAGAAAGCCTCATCTTTCTTCAGTAGAGTGGCTGCTGACAGTTCAAAGTCCATAGCTTAATACACAAAGCCACCACAGAGTGACAGAAGAACAAATGTGTCTCAGAAGTACACTCAGAATGCTCCTTAGAAGCATAGACCAGGACACTTGTCTCACATACTTTGGATATGTTACCAGGAGGGACCAGTCCCTGAAGTACATTATGTTTGGTAAAGTAGATGGTCAGTGAAAAAGAGGAAGACACTCAACAAGATGGATTAACACAGGGTCTGCAACAAAGGGCTCAGTCATAGTAGTGACTGTGAGGGCAGGGCAGTGTTTCATTCTGTTGCATATTGTGTTGATTATTGTGTTGTATTGATTAGAGAACAACTAACTAACAACAAATGGTACAGATATAGTATGTTGTTAAGTGCCATGGAGTTGGTTCCAACTCAGAGGGACTCTGTATAGAGCTTCCAAAGAGCGGCTGGTGGGTTTGAACCAAAGACCTTGTGACTAAACAGTCCAATACTTATCCTACAGCTCCACACTGAAACTACAGAAACAGCGTAACCACTATGAAAAATTCGAATATGCACAAACTAAGATACTGCAACGCTTTTGAGGGCAAGTCAACTCATTTGAGGGCAAGGCACAATTTAAAATACTTGCAACTCATTGAGAGCAAGGTAGAGTTTGTTTAAAACTTGTAGGAATGCCTTAGAATTTGAATAGGATTCATGCTGGAAAAAATAGCCCAGAGCCAAGTTTGAGATGGGGTGTGATATAAACTTTTTAAGAACAGTGCAGTGGGTTCATTTGCCTTCTGCCAGGTTGAGACCCACTGATTTAGTAGGATTGACTGGGTTTCCCCAATACCTACAGTTTGTTTTATAACAGCGATGAATACTTGCCGGGTACCAGACAACACAGCAGCTGTTTATTAGCATGTGCGTTGTTTCAACTAGTGAGCTTTTCCTCTCCTTTTTCCAGCTCCCCATTTCTGGTCCTCCCTTTCACTTATCCTTGGATTTCTCTTCAACACCATTGGGACGCGCTTTCCTCCACAGGTGGGAGTGCAGCTATAGAGAAAGAGTGGAGGGCGTGCTTGTGAAAACCCCGCTGTGCTTAGCACTGCTACTTTTTTTTCATAGTGTAAGTTGCGTTTTTTCCTAGTCAACTGACATATAGGGGAAATGGATCAAAGTCAAGTTAGCTCTACGTCCTTTTAACGCGTTTTCTGCACATTAAACCAAGACGATTACCTGATAAGGATCTTGGTAAAAGGATGTACTCCAAAGCGTCGCCTTTTCAACTCTTTCGACTCTGGGGAGGAGCTATCCCGTGACAGTCAAGGGAACCTGCGCGCATACTCCATGAGTCGGACCTGGAAGACTATAGTCCAACTCTCTTCTCCAGAGTCTGGACCCGCCTCCTCCCCAAGCTTCCGGGACAGAGGGGAAATGGGCGGAGCCAGGGCCGGAAACCTACTTTTTTAATCTCTTACCACGGGCTAGTTTTTAGTACTCTGCTGTTTAATTGAAGATTGATTGGGAGTATTTTTCTGGTTGTGCTTCTCTCTTCCATTTTACCATCATGCCAGAAATCGACCTGGGAGGATTCTGACACTAATTAGTGGGTGCCGAGATCGACCCAATGAAATAGTTTATCCATTTACGGCAGTTTTGCCCCAGGCACCCTTTGACTAGTTCAGCTTCCTTTTGCTCCAGCCTCTAACCACCCTGTGTTTAGCCGTTTTCTACGCCCAGCTCCCCCAGGCCATTATGTATGATCGGGCCCCTCGCTTATTCAGATTGACTGAGGGTGGCGGCACTGAGGACTGTGTGGGTCCTGGATCCTACCAGGTACCTTTCCTGAAGCAGCAGGCATCAGGTAAGATGGAGGGAAAAGCCCAGCCTTTTCCCTTGACAGACACTTCGCCTTCAGCCAGCTTCGCTTCTAAGTTAAACACAAAGTGAAGTAACAATTAATAGTATAGCAAAACATGAAGTAGGCAAGAAAAATAGTATCCATATTTTTACAGATGAGGACTGATAAGATAACTTGCCCCATTTGCCAAGGCTACTAAGCATATGGGAGCCCTGGTGTGGTGCTGTGTGTTAATGCACTGGCCTTTAATAATGCACTGGACTGCAAGGTCAGTTTGAACCGCAGCACAAGTGGTTCAAGCTCACTAGCCGCTCCTTGGACATGCTATACAGGGTCGCTATGGGTTGGAACTGACTCGACGCCACTTAGCAACAAGTAAACTTATGGTAAGGACTTAATTCTACTGTGGTTTTCCATAACACATTTTCAGTTGTATAGACTAGATCTAGGATTTTGATATCCTAGCTTGGTAGAAGATGTTTCTGGTTATGTGCTGTGGAATCGGTTCTGACTCATAGCGACCCTGAAGATACAAGTCTCCAAATCCTGCATACTTCTCTCTCTTTCTAGCCTGTCTTTTCTTTGTAATCCTATCTGCCTCAGTAGTTTTGTTCAGTTTAGAGACATTTGTTACTACAAAGTAAGTTTCGAACCGCTCCAGCCGATCCACAGGAGCAAGATGAGGGAGTCGGCTTCCCTAAAGATTGCAACATAGGACAGTTCCACTTTGTCACATGGGGTCTCTAATACGTCGAAAATTTAACAATGGCACTTTGACAACAACTTTGAAATTTCATATAATAATAATCCTATTTTTTTCTCTGTCTAGGTGCTACTTTTTTATTATATCCACATTTTCTTTGAAGTGAGACATCCTTTCTTTCCCCCACATTTTATTATGAAAAGTTGTATTCTTGAGGATTGCAGTGATAGTTGATGGTTATGTGCTATGGAGTTGTTTCTGACTCAGCAACCCTGTATGAGGTTTCCAAGTCCACACCTTTATGGAAGCAGAAAGCCTCATCTTTTTCCCAGCTAGTGGCTGGTAGATTTGAACTACTGACCTTATGGTTAGGAGTCCAACTTGTAACCCACTATGTTATTAGAGGCATGGAGTAGGTATTGTTGTTGTGAAGTGCCTTTAAGTCGGTTTCGACTCATAGCAACTCTGTATGGGGTTTCAGAGGAGCAGCTGGTAGATATGAACTACCAACCTTGTGGTTTGTAGTCCAGTGGTGATCCTATGGCACCACACCATGTTGGTTTCGATTCTCAGCAACCCTGTATAGAGTTTCTGAGGATCAACTGGTGGGTATTTTGTTGTTTTTTGTTACATGATTCAAATAATTATTTTGCTTTATAGTGGCATCCTGGTGGGGTGCCACAGGATAAGCACTCAACCTCAAGGTTGGTTTGAACTGCAAGGTCAGTGGTTCAAACTCACCAGCCACTCCTGGGAAACCCTACACAGGGTTGCTATGAGTCTGAACTAACTCGATGGCACACAACAACAACAACAACAACAATTGGTTATAGTTAGGAGTCCTAGTGTGGCACTGTAGGATAATGCACTAGACCACAAGTTTGATTTGAACTGACAGGCCGGCCGTTCAATCTCACCAACCACTCCTTGGAAACCCTCTATGAGTTAGAATCAACTCCGCAGCACTTAACAACGACAACATTGGTTATAGTTAAGGAGCCCTGGTAGCTAGTAGGCTACGAATTGGGCTGCTAACTGCAGGCCACTAGTTGAATCTATTAGTCAATAGTTCTCTGTGCCTGTTAAGATTTACAGCCTCAGAAATCCTATTCCATGACACATAACCAACCAACCAATTGGTTGAGTTGAGTGATTTAGATAAAACATTGAATAAATCCATTTTACATTCTACTTTTTATAGTCTGGTGATTTTCAGAAGTTTAATAAAATCCTGGTGTGGCACTGTAGGATAAGCACTAGACTGCTAACCACAAAATTGGAGATTCAAACCCACTAGAGACTCCTTGGAAACTCTATACAGGGTTGCTATGAGTTGAAACTGACTCAAAAGCACTTAAAAACAAACAGCAGCAATACAATCCAGATTATAGTTTTTTTCCTTGGTAACATGCATTTTCTATTTTAAGTTTGAAACTCCAGCTGTTCCGCAGGAGAAAGAAGAGGCTTTCTGCTCCTGTAAAGATTTACACCCTCAGAAACCCTGTACAGGGTCGCTATAAGTGGGAACTGACTCCACGGCATATAACCACCACCATAGGACCTAAAAGCAGAGAATATCAGAAAAAGATTTACTTGTGTTTGATCTACTAGGCAAAGGCATTTAACTATGTGGTACATAACAAAGTATGAATAACATTTCGAAGAAGGGGAGTTGTGCTCATATGGAACCTCTACATATGGAACCTCTACATAGACCAAGAGGCAGTCATTTGAGCAGAACAAGGGAAATACTACATGGTTTAAAATCTAGAAAAGTGTGTTTTATCCCTTCACCATACTTAGTCTGTATACTGAGCAAAGAACTCATGAAACTGGACTATATTTGATATTCAGATGACACACTATACCTGCTGAACGTGAAGAGGATTTGAAGCACTAACTGATGATGCTCAGACTACAGCCTTCAGTATGAATTGCACAGCAATGTAAAGAAAACAAATATCCTCACAATTGGGCCAATAGAAAACATCACGATAAATGAGAAAATATTGATGTTTTCAAGGATTTTATTTGGTTTGGATCTACAATCAATGATCATGAAATAGCAGTCAAGAGATCCCATGATATATTACACTGGGCAAATCTACTACAAAAGACTGTTTTAAAGTTTTAAAGGGCAAAGATGTCAGTTTGAGGACTAAGGTGTACCTAATTCAAGCTATAGCATTTTCAGTTGCTTCATATGCATAAGAAAGCTGAACAATGAATAAGGAAGATTGAAGAATAATTGATACTTTTGGATTATGATGTTGAAGAAAAATATTGAATGTACCATGGTGTCATAGATTGAATTGTTTCCCTTCCCCCTCCAAAAAATACATGTGTCAGCTTGACTGAGCCATAAAACATTTTTTTGGCAATGGTTTGACAATTATGTGATGAGCCACCAAGTTGTGATCTGATGTTATAAACCAATAAGATTATTAAGGTTCCAACCCATAGCAGGCCTGTATAGGTTTTCTGAGGCTGGTGAGTTTGAACTGCTGATGTTGAGGTTCAAACAACCTTGCAGTCCAACACATTAACCCATAGTGCCTATGTATGGAGATTCCCAAGGGTATGGCATGCAAGACCTTTCATCTTACAGGAGATAAAAAGAGAGAAACAAGAGCAGAGAAAGAGACTTCTATCACCAACAAAGAAAAGCCAGAAGTGGCGTGTGTACTTTGGACCTGGGGTCCCTGCACTGTGAAGCTTCTAGATGCAGGGAACAATTGATGCCAAGACACATGGAGCTCTTTTAGGAATGCTGGGCCCACAGATGCTGAAAGGAGACCAGGACCTTTCCCTTGCCATTCTTCCTAAACTGTGAGAGAATCAATTTCTGTTTGTTAAAACCATCCACTTGTGATACTTCTCTGAAAGCAGTACTAGGTAACTAAGACACATAGACTGCCACAGAAACAAATGTATCAACCTTTTAGGAAGTACAGCTTGAATGCCTCTTACAAGTGAGGATGGCGACACTTCATCCCAGATACTTTGCACGTGTTATGAGGAGGGACCAGACCCTGGAATAGGACATCATGCTTGGTAAAGTAAGGGTCAGCAAAAAAGAGGAAGAAACAATCAACAAGATGGATTGACACAGTGGCTTCACACCAATGGGCTCAAACATAGGAATGATTGTGAAGATGGTGCAGGATGGGGCAGTGTTTTGAATTGGAACTGACTCCACGGTACCCAAAAGCAACAATAACAAACAGCACATACACATATGTAAGTACTGGTGTGGCACTGTAGGGTAAGTGCTGGACTGCAAGGTCAGTTTAAACCACAAGGTTCAACCACAGAGTTCAAATTCAGCGCTCCTGAGGCATTCTATATACAGAGTTTAGCAACAATACACACACAAACACACACAAGTGCAATGCAGGTTTAAACAATTATAAATGCCATCTGATCACTTTCTGGTTGGGTCTGCTTTCATTGTGTAGATTCTAAATTTGTCATTTGGTAGTGTTTTAATCTTGAATTTTACTGGCTTTATGCATCTGACATCAGCATTCTTAGAGCTTACTAATATCTGTATTTTAATGCAGTCTACAACAAAGCTATTCTCAGCATTAACACACATACAACTTATTTGACTTCTACAACTCCCCAAGAATGCTTACAGCTCTGATGCTTTTCAATCTTGTTGTTGTTGTTAGGTGCCGTTGAGTTGGTACTAACTCAGAACATATACAAAACAGAACGAAATACTGCTTGGTCCTGTGCCAACCTCACAATCATTGCTACTCTTGAGTCCATTGCTGCTGCCACAGTACCAGTGCATCTCGTTGGGGGTCTTCCTGTTTTTTGCTGACCCTCCACCATACCAAGCAAGATGTCCTTCTCCAGGTACCTGTCCCTCCTGGTAATATGTCTGAAGTATGAAAGATGAAGTCTGGCCATCCTAGCATTCAAGGAGCATTCTGGCTGCACTTCTTCCAACACAGAGTTGTTTGTTCTTTTGGCAGTTTATGGTACTTTTAACATTCTCCTCTAACACTATAAGTCACTTGCATCAATTCTTCAATTTTCTTGATTCATATTCCAATTTTCACATGCATATGAAGTTACAAAAAATATCATGGCTTGGGTCAGGTGCACCTTATTCCTCAAACTGACATGTTTGCTCTTGGGCATTTTAAAGAGGTCTTGTGCAACATATTTGCCCAGTGCAATACATCATTTGATTTCTTGACTTCTGCTTCCGTGAGTATTGATAGTTGATCTGAGCAAAATGAAGTTTTTGACAGCTTCAGTCTTTTCTCTATTTATCTTGACATTATGT